ATCATGTAATGGCTTTGGATGGTGGCTGAGGGCATAAAAAAGGCCTGGATCTAGCCGGTTGCCAAATGGTGGTTGATTTAGACCCGGACATGAATTGTTTCGTCCTCCCTCCAGTCTAGAAAAACCCAACTAACTAGCTTTCAAATCACCCAACCAAACCCCCAGCCAAACCAAGCATCCCCCTCCCTCATGACGCGGCTATACCCGTTGGCCCTTTCACCTCCCGGAATCAACTACCAGCGCAAACTATGTTAGATAGGGCAGCCCCCCCCCCCAAAAAAAAACACAACGGACAGGGATGCTGCTCACCATGCAGATGTTGTTCCCGTTCAGCAGGATCTTGTTGAGTTTGGTGTGGTTGCCCGAGTAGTCGCTACAAAACAGATCAGTTCATGGATCTCAGAAGCCGTGTTGGAGGTGCCCAGCTTACAACTCGGTGACGTTTTCGAGAACCATGTCTACGGAGAGGAGAGGGTGGGGTTAGGTTAGGTTAGGTTATCGGATGTATGCTGGATGAGAGACCACGGGGGCGAGGGAGGAGAGGGAGGTTGGACGTACTGACGTAGTCGTCGAAGCCTACTAGCGTGCCAGCGAATTCTGTGGGAGTGTCAGTATATCCATCCGTTTCTGGGTTCCTAGGTATTTTGGGGTGGGAGGGGGGAACTGGAATGGGAACGGAAGGGAGGCTGGTTTACCTTTGTCACCTTTCATGACCACCCAGATGCGGGACCCGACGCATTTGTCGATGAGTTCTGGGGTGTTTAGGTGATTAGCGGTCATCTAGATTTAGAACTTGTCCCACTTGTATAGCTGCTCCACATACCGAGGGGAAGGAGTTGAGAAGCCATGATGTCTTGTCTGGGTATCTGGTGTTGGCGGCTGTTTTAGTGGCTTCTGATGTATTTCAAGGGCCTGCAGGTCGCGGCCGTCGACTGAGCAGCGAGCTGCAGTGGGGATGCGATGGGTATTGTGTATTTACCGTACGGATCATACACTGTGGTCACGCAGAGCAAACATCGCGATAAATGCATAATCAGCTAACTGGTTAAGCGCCAACTCTTACAACCAACGATCGCCGTTTTCAGCAAAAGAGCCTTTGTCTCGCGTGTTGTCACTGCTGTTGGCGCGCGTCTGCCTGCCAATCCGCCAGCCTGCCAGTCTGCCTGTTAGCCAGCCTGCGCTCACTCCGCCACTACCTCTCAACCCTAGAGATACTTAAATCAGTTTGTTGCCCATGTCATGACATTGTGCAGCCATGGCGCCGTCCGTCCGTCGTCTTACGCAAGGCCAATGAGATTCTCACGTTTTCGAGGAGCGAGTCGTGCTGGCGTCGTCGTGGAGCGTTTCCAATGTCGTTCACACCGTCGCTTTCTATCCTCTTCATCGCCGTCACAATACCGGCTGTAAGTCACCCCCATCCACACGCCGCCCTTAGTTTTCGATTAGGTACAAATACTAACTTCACCCGCAAGGCGTCGGATTCATGTGAAAATGAGTTCCCGAAAAACTGCACACCACGTTTGGCATGTTAGTCGCGGCATCGTTTTCTCCACTGGCAGCAATGCGACCTATCGCCCTTTGCCTCCACTAAGGCACCACAGCGCCCCTGCAGCGGCTGCAGCTGCTTCCGAGGGAAGTTCGGTTGCTTTGCCAGCTATCCTGGCCGACACCAATGTGTTGGGAGAGTTCTCTGCTAGCCAGAGGCCCGAAGCCGTATTGGATAGTGGCTTTACAGCTATTCCGCCGGCTACTCGCATCACTACTACCACCACCATTTCGAGCACCGCCGCTACGGAGGGGGTTGCTACGGAGGGACAAAAGGGTGCTGCGACTGATATTGCGGCGAAGCCCAAACAGGAGGACATACCCGATGTCGCTGTCCCTTTTACCCCTCTGGATTACAAGATCCCCCACCAAGTCTTCCAAGCGGCGAGAAGGGCACCCGAGGGATCCCCTGAATCGTTTTGGACCTACAGATTGTACCAAGGCCCGGGGGAAAACGGCGCACTCGGTTCCAAGGTCAAAGTTCATTACTGCACCACCGCGCGGACTACGGAGGAAGTTGTCACAAAATACTTCCTGAACGAGAAGGTCGTTGGCTTCGACTTGGAGTGGATGGCCTATGCAAATAAGTACGCGAGTGCCAGGCAGAACGTCTCTCTCATCCAACTCGCCTCTCCGACTCGAATTGGACTTTTCCATGTCGCCATCTTTCCCAAGGACGACGAGTTCGCCACACCGACCCTGAAAGAATTCATGCAGAATCCTGCCATCACCAAGGTTGGTGTCTCGATCAAGGGGGACTGCACACGCTTGTCAAATTACCTACAGATCGAGACCCGTGGCCAGTTCGAACTCAGCCACCTCTACAGGCTTGTCAAGTACTCTGAGAGCGGGGAGCATAAATCAATCAATAAGAAGCTGGTGTCCCTGAGCACCCAGGTCAATGAATACCTTGGCCTTCCCATGTACAAAGGCGACGTCCGTACAGGCGACTGGACCAAGCGCTTAGACATGCCTCAGATTATTTGTAAGCTTCCTCCCGTCCCAGCGGAGGCAGTAGCTAACAAACAAAATCGCAGACTCCTCGTCCGACGTCTACGCGGGGGTCCACCTCTACGCCATCCTCAACCATCGCCGGCAAAAGCTTGATCCAGTTCCTGACCTCCCTCACCATGCCGAACTCAACCGCCCCATCCCATTCATCACCCGGGCCGTCGCAAAAAAACAGGAGGCCGTTACTGAGGCCATCGTTGTTGAAGACGACCCCGTCCTCGATGTCCAATCAGTAGCGGAGGCTCAAGTAGCCCTCGACAGCGCCCCGGTCGCCGACCAAACGAGCGTGGTCAGCAAACACCCGCCAAAACCGAAAGTCACCAGGCGAAAAACGCCTGTTGCGAAAGCGGCCCTCGACGTTGAATCGTCGGTCCAGCTAGACGCCACGCCGTCACCAAGTGTTTAGGTTAGAAGCCAACTACGGCAGGGGCTAGAAACCCCGGGCGCTAGCTAAAGCTAGGCTGAGAGGCAGCCACGCGCCGGCCGTTGAACGTAGTTGCGAACCGGGCGGGAGTAAACCTACCTACCCGTATGCAGTTGGTCATTTTTCCTCTTATCACATCGGACTAGATACAAGGTTCAGGCAGGGTCGAGCATACCGGAGGCATTTTGTATTTGAAATAGAGAGCCAATCTTGGGGGACGGTAAGAGTGCTACGTATATGAGGAAAGCACATAACTTTAACAAAACTCGAGACGATCAAGATAATAGATCCCACGAGTCACAAATGCATCTGTTCGGGTGAGAATGTCATCTAAGCGATCTGCACCACGGCATATCAACAACAGCACTCTTAAACTCAATCCCAATCTATCCATTCACTATCTGGGTATAACCTCCCCATCTTTTATATCAACCAACACTCCCACTTCCCATCCCCCAACCAGCCAGCCCCCTTACTCAGCAACAACATCCCTCCCCGCGTTAATCTGCACGCGCTTATCCTCCGCACCACTGACAATCCCCAGCTCGGCATCCCACACCACCCCAAACACCTTGCACCCCTCCCCAGCTACGGTCTTCTTCCCTCCCTTAGCCCCCTCGCGCTCAATGACATACACGGCCTCGCTCACACTGCCCAGTCCGCCCTCCTCCTGCGTGGCCGGCCGCACGCTGCGCAGGTCCCACACGCGGCAGGTGCCGTCGTGGGCGCCCGAGACGAGGGCGTACTCGTTGCGGGGCGACGCGCACAGCCCCACGGGCTTGTTGGCGTGCCCGCGCAGCGTCATGACCGACGTCGTCGCCGCGCTCGCCCGCGGGTCCACCAGCGTGATGTGCCGCGCCGCTGTGCCGGCGGCGAGTAGAGGGGAGGCGCTGTTGCCGCGGGGCAGGGCGCAGAGGGAGAGGAGCGGGTGGGAGGTCGAGTGCGTGGTGACCACCGTGCTGGTGGTGAGGTCGATGGTGCGCAGTGTGTGGTCCTGCGAGGCCGAGTAGGCGACCGTGCGGTCGCGCGGGTCGAAGACAGCTGCGCTGGCGGGCGCCGAGTGGATTGGCATGAGTGAGAGGGGCCCGCGCTGGGCGGCCGTGACTGAGGTGGTGACCTTGCGGCGCTTGGAGGTGTGCGCGTTGGGTAGGAGCGAGCTGTCCGCTTCGGGGGCTGACGCCTTGGAGGTGCTCCAGAACCCGATTGAGCCGTCGGCAGAGGCCGTCAGGATGCGCTTGGAGGCACCGTCGACTTCGAGCGAGTCGATTGAGCCGGTGTGGCCGTACAGTTCGAGGGTGGGCTTGAGATCGCCTGAGAAGTGGTCGCTCTCGGTGTACTTCCATACCCGCACCGTCCGGTCCATGCCAGCGGACGCGAGCTGGGAGTTGGTGAGGAATTTGGCCGCTTTTATGCTGGCTGTGTGTCCACCGTGACTTCCTGAAGGAGAGGTCGCAATGACCTGACCGGAAGCATTCCATATCCTCAGCAGGCCGTCAAACGAAGCTGAGAGAATCCTGTCCTGGCCGCGCTGGAAATTGTCGCCGGACCAGCGACCTGAGGGTGAGCTCGCGGAGAGCACATCGACGGCGCTGACCCAGTCGTCGTGCTCAAAGCTGGCTTCGTACACCGGAGGTATTAAGCTGCGGACGTATTGTAGGGTAAGGTTGGATTCGAGAGAGAGGCCGTTGTTGGTGAGGTAGTCTTCGAGGCTGGTTCGAAGGAAGCTCCCGTTAACGAGGAAGTCGAAGGGGATGGAACCGGTGTCGAGCATCGACTCGGAATTGAGGACACGAGAAAGGCCATAGCGGCGGATGTCTGCGGGTACGAGAAGTTGTCGCTTAGACTCGGGAAGCTGGAGATCGGCCTCGGTGGTGGTGAAGGTGACTTTGACCTGCGCCCCGGAGGCGTCTACCATTGGCTCGTCCATTGCCCTGCGTAATTGTCGTGTGTTTAATTAAGAGAGGTGGTGGTATTAAACTCGAAGCAAATTTTCTTTTTATTTCCTTTCCTTTTTGTTTTCCACAATTGGTTCATGAGCCGTCTTCTTTAGCAGTCGCAGGGGTCGGCCAGATCTCGAGATTTTTTTGTCCCTGCAACAAAAGTTCAGGCCCGATAAGCAACCCCACGATCTTATCGCACCCCGGTTAGCAGGCATGCACAGCGGGGCACCTGCCTGACGCGGCCCGTTAATTGCTGGTTACAAGGGTGTGAGAATACCGCGTCAAGCTTCGCAGGTAAGCGCGTCTTGACTTGCAACTAAGAACCCCATTACAGTGCCGGACTTCAAGATCGCTGACCGTGATAATGGTGACCCTCGACGAGATTGCAGGCACAGCTCTGCTTCAAAAGCCTTCGTAAGGTTCACACTTAAAATCAACACCAAACCAGTTATTTGTTACTGACTTAACTGTTCTGTAGCAATACACCGACTGCGAGTCTCGAGCGCCCTGAATCAAACTACAAATCCCTTGGCAACTTCTCCCTCCCGAATGACCGGCAATACAAACAGCAATTTGCCGATATATACTTCCTTCGTCTCACCAAAATCAGACCTGCTGTAGAAGAGGTTGCTACCGCAGCATGGCAGGATACTGTATTGGGCGGCGAGACCGCGACCAAGGTGGACCGTGTCTTGGATGTGCGCCAGGGCCAGTTATGCTGGGTTATTGGCACCGTCTACATGGAAATGCCGCTCAAACCCAGCGTGCTTGAAGATGTATCCAAAGATGTAAGTGCCATGCCATGGGTGAGGGGAGGAGGGAGACTAGATCAAGGTCATTAACTTGAATCAGCGCTGGATCTCCGCCCCTACCATGGCCGACCACTACTATGACGGGGCCGGGGCAGAGTCAATCATGCTCGAGGACGACTCTGGTCGGGTGCCTCTGGTTGGAAGCGTGCTCAAGGATTACTTCCTTGTCACAGGCTGTATTATCGCAGTCATGGGCACCGAGAACTCGGACGGTCAGTTCGAGGTTATTGACCTCAAGTTCGCCGACCTCCCTTCACAGCCAGGCCGCTGGTCCCTTTCCAAAGGCCCCAAGAAACCAAAAGTCAAAGACGAAGATGTCGAAATGGCCGACTCCTCACGCCCACAACCCCCCAAAAAGATCGCCATCGTCTCCGGCCTCGAGTTCTCAGGCACCGACACCTCCTACGCAATGGAGCTCAACCTCCTCCTCGAGTTCCTCCTCGGCGAAGCGCTCGACCCCGCCGCGCAAGTCGAGCTCTCCCAAATCTCCCGGCTGATCATCGCCGGCAACTCCATCGCCAAACCCTCCGAACACGACCCCGCCACGGACAAGAGAGTGCTCAAAAAGTACGGCTACGACTCGTCCTCGTACAATCCGCTCCCCTCCCAGCTCCTCGACACCTTCCTCTCCTCCCTCCTCCCCACCCTCCCCATCACCCTCCTCCCGGGCGCGCAGGACCCAGCCAACGTCAGCTACCCACAGCAGCCGATCCACCCAGCCATGTTCCCGAACGCACGCACTTACACGGCCGCACCGGGGGCGTCGGAACAACCGGGGTGGTTCGACCCCGTCACCAACCCGTGGGAGGGCGAGGTGGAGGGGTGGCGGGTGCTGGGCACGGGCGGGCAGAACCTGGACGACATCTGCAAGTATGTGGATAGCGAGGACAGGCTGGGCATGATGGAGGCCATGTGCCGGTGGCGGTGCAGCGCGCCGACGGCACCGGATACGCTGTGTAAGTTTTTTTCAAGATCTATTCACCCATTCACAGTCACATCTCCTGTCGAGTAAGAGAGAGAGAGAGAGAGAGAGAGAGAGAGAGAGCGCTAACGACAAACAAACAGGGTCGTACCCCTTCCAGGACGATGAGCCCTTTGTTATGAAGGACTGCCCCCACCTCTACTTTGTGGGCTGCCAGCCCGAGTTCGGGACCAAGATCATTGAGAGTCCACAGGGGCAGATGGTGCGGCTGGTCCTGATCCCCTCGTTCGCAGCAACCAAGGAGATCGTGTTGATAGACACCGAAACGCTGGACGTGTCAAAGGTGAAAATCACGGCTTGATTTTCGGGTCTAGCTAAAAGAAAGGAATAAAACGAAAAAAAGAATGTTAATGTAGGGCCAGCCGATGCCCTAGAGCAAGACGGTCAAGATGGTTCGCCCAGCTAAGCAAGCTGCCCGCCAATATCTACCTACCCTCCGCGAAGAGATCTTCCCGAATGTGTCCCTGGTATCTCGGTGGGAAATCCCCGTGTATCACCCGTTGCTCGATCAACGCCAACGAAAAATGCCATCGCAAATGCTCAGAATGCTTTCCCCAAGCCCATCTTTGGCGCCCTAAAGAAAATCATCATCATGATCGACTCCCAAACTCCGTCCAGCAAAGCCCGTGTTAATCAACCCCTTCATCTCCCAGCGCAGGGCCGGGCAGCGCCGCCATCTCTCCCCATCAAGCGCGATACGCCCGCAACTGCTGGCCAACCCGATCAATCGAGATAATGAGCGACTTCGTCCGCCGCGCAGCGCGATCCTCGTCCTCACTATCTTCGTCCGCGCCCTCCTCATCCCCAGCATCATCGTACGCATCAGCGTCGAACCGGGCGTCCTCCTTCACCCGCTGCTCGCGACGCCGCTGCTCAGCAGCTCCATGGTCCTCCCAGATGCCGCGCATGGCAAATTCGGGCCGGAGGCAGGCATCCTCGATGTGCCGGCGCAGGTGGGCCAAGGCGTCCTCGGCGGCGGCGCCCTTCTGCCGCTGTTTCTCCTGCATCAGCACATCGTTCTCCCAGAGGGGGCCCGCGGGGCCGGGCTGCCGCCGGAGCGTCTCCATGTGCCGGGGCAGGTAGCGCAGGTCGATGGTTGTCTCGAGGTGGCGTTTCTTGGGCTGCTGGGCGTTGTGAGAGGAGAGGTGTGAGTCGTCGTGCGAGTCGTCGTCCGAGTCGTCGGGGTCGTCGCCGGCAGAGTCGAGCCAGGAGTTGGCTGCGTCGAGACCGTTGACGCCGAGGTCCGAGTTGACGTGCACGTTGATACGCAGGAACTCGACGTTGAGGCGCTGCAGTGCCTTGAGCACCGGCGCGCCCCGGCTGAAGAAGCTCACCATGCTGAGGAAGCGGCCCTCGCGGATGACTGTGTCATTGTTTCCCGGGACCCGGATGATGCGATGGCTGGGCTCAAACAACGGCGAGATGGTGATGGTCAGCGTGTGCAGGTGGATGGAGCTACAAAGCGGACGGGGCGGAGACGGAAGAGACTCCGCACCGTTGGGGGCGAGGGTTTCGAGAGCGGCGCTCATGAGCTTCTCGTATGAAGTGGCTGTGCGGTTCGCCTCCAGCTCGATGGCCATGTGCCGGATGAGATTGCCGTACTTGGCGAGATTGATGCTGCGGTTCTCTTGCTCCCTGCGATTGGCGACCCGCTTGCTTCGCCGGCCACCCCCGGTTACAACTTCGACAACCTCCGGATCTCGCAACTGGTAGAGAAAGGTGTTCTCCGAATAGAGGATGCGAGTGCCCTCATCCGCGGCGCGGCGGCACACGGTCAGAATCCCAATGTCGATATTGGTACCCCCTATGTCGTCACCACGCCCCCCGCGGCGGATAGAGCGGCGGGCCACGTCTGTCCAAAGATGCCGGACGTGAATAGGTCTCGGTGAAACCAGCAGGTGACGATAAATCTTGTCCCGAGTCTCTGTTGCCAAAGTGAAGAAATGTGTCATTGCCTCAACACTCCGGAGCAAGTCCAATGTCTCGTTGGCGTTCGCCTCGGGCGCAGTTGAGTCGTGCGGCATCCCTTCAACTCCAGCAGCCGGCTCCGTGTTCATCGGTCTCAACCGCTCCCCAGGGGGTAGATTGGAACCCCCCTCCTCTCCACGGAGGAATGCCTGCAATTCACGACGCACCGTAGGGGCCGGAGGGTCGACGATTATGACATCGTCATCCATATTTCCCATAAAGGACCTTGTACGCTTCGAGCGATCGGCCTGGGTCAAGTCAATAATAGGGGTCGGGCGCGGGCGGCGTGTCGGGGTGCTGGAAGGTGTCTGAACGACAATGACCTCCTCGATGTCCTCGTCCACCTCGGACACTTTGCGCTTGCGGCGTGTCGGGGTGCTGGAAGGTGGCTGAACGACAAGAACGTCCTCGATGTCCTCGTCCACCTCGGGCACTTTGCGCTTGCGCTTTTTGGATGAAAAATGCCGAGACGAAGGGGGAGTGTACGGCGGCACCCCGCGGGGTGTCCTCGCGGCGGCCGTACCAACACGTGCAGCGCCGCCAGGCGGCTGGGCCGCCGACTCCGAGTCATCATCGGGAATGAATATGGGGTTATGTCGGTTTGATCGAGGCGTCTTGGGCTCATCTACCTCGACGAAATACTCGTCGCCCATGTGCACGCCCTGATCTGAGAGCCATGCTGAGACTTTTGAGTACTCGGAGCGAGGTTGAGCAACCTGTCGCTGGAGCATCTGAAAGCCATTGGAGCCAATGGTAGCGGCTTCAAGCTCGGCCAGAGTGAGATGGTTGGCACCACCGAGGGCGGCATGGAATGGGTTGGGTTGACTTGCCATCCTGGGAGTAGAGTGATAAAAGCCAGGTTGACCTGTATCGCGATTCCACATCGAATTGTCGATTCGCTCGGTTATCTCTTTATCTACCACGAGGGTATGCCACTGCTTTCAGTAGAAGAAGAGATGCATCTATGAATGAAAGGGCATGTCAACAAGAGTCTTTCTCGAAAGCAGACCTTAATCTCTCCAGATGGATGGCTTTGATGCGGCCAGAAACCAGCAATGGCAGCATCAAAGATCTTGAAAGTGCTGGATGCTTTCTACTTACCTCGCTAGGTAAAGAGCAATGGGAAATAAAGGAAGTGTTGCTGTGAGTGTGAATTGGAGATCTGGTGTATGTCCCTACTCCAGGCAACTCGCCTGGGAGGATGTTGAGGGGCCGTGCGAAAAAGTTCAAAAAAACGAACTTTTTGTGGGATGGGCAAGTTTTGAGAATGTGAGAATGTAAAGAACTCAAAAGAAAGAACAAACCAAATTGACTTGGTGTAGTGAGCTCAATGCACCCACTGCTTGAGGTGACGCCGGGAAGGTGCGGGAAGGAATTCTCAGCCAACTTGACTTGAGAACTGATTGATGAATCTCCTTGCCATGCACCTAGATTCTAGGTAAATATATGAAGCAAGAGAGTTAAAAGGCTCGAGATCGCAGGCTGCTGAGAGAAACCAGTGCAACCATGCAGGATGTGGTGAATATGGTGAATATGGTGAAGGCGGTATTTCACCTAGGGGTGTCTTGTTCCCGGCTGGGCAACCAGGTGATGAGGGAAAGCAGAATACCTCTGCACTTGAATTAAATGTTGGGTACAGCAAGTTTCCTATGAGGTAGAAAATTGGCACTGTGCTGGGTGAATGTAAACCTGGAAACTGCCCAAGGGAGAGGACAAAGCTTGTTGTGCCTTCCTGAGGCTGCCAGGTACCGTGTAAGTCATTTTAGAAGGAAGCCACAACTCAAAACCGAGACCACTCTGAAGCAAGTTGGAAGCCTCCTTCTAATATAGACCTAGGTACCTACCTAGGTAGGAATCTTACGAAGACAACCCAACCCACCTTACGGCAGCAGTGTACGATTGCTTAAACAATTTTCGATTTTGTATCACTCCTGTCGAAATCGAAACTATAAAAAAGACAACGTCGCCCGACATGTTACAATTACAGTTTAATCTCGCACCCTCTCATTTTCACCAGCTCTTCCACCATTGGCAAGGATCGCAGCATAGCGAGGCACATCGCATCGTCGCCAAAGGCTTCTCAGCTACATGTAGGTACTTGTCAAGGATAGCTTAAGATGCCCCAAGGCAGAGACGTGACATCCTGTCTGGTTCCCTCGACCTGATCTGTCTTACCATCGCCAGTGAGTTGGCATTCCCGGATACGGCCACTGCTTCTTGATACCGAGCTAGGATGGCTTGTTGCTAATCCGTTGGGAAAGAAACGAGACCCGAAGCCAACGGGATAATGAACCCCCAAAGAAGCCCAAGAGCGACGGGAAACGGCTGACAATCCTCGAATAACTAGAATTGACGGAACCATTGGGGACAAAGGCCCGAGTCCTGTTTTACCCCTGGATGGCCGCCACGCATATTACGGTGAATGAAGATCCAATTCCAGTGCCCGCCCGCTACATTTTGGCCAACAACTCTACCTCGCCAGCAGACATGTCCTCGTGCCCCCATAAACGCGTTGTCATCACGAGTTATGCCCTGCGGTCTGATTCAGATTCATCAATATCAAGGGGTTCATACCAGCGGACGTGTTCTAGACTTTGTCGCATCCCATGTCCCTGGGTCATGTGCCCATGACAAAGGACGAACTGGGCCTCGATAGCACAACAAGCGGCTAGCATTGTGCGCCTCGTCGGCTCGGCATCGGGCCCCAGCCCAATAAGGAACTTCCCGGAGCTTCATGCACGGAATACAAGAGTACCCCGGAATACTGGAGTCGGTGTGGACCGAAGGGCGGGAACGCGCCTTTCTCCGGTTTTCGGCCCCCCCGGAAAGATACCGTCGTTTATCGTCGGCCCAGACTCCACCAAGTAAAATCCCCGATCCGGCCACGCCCTAAATCTCGCATGCAGCAACTCCTCTTGGCAGACCGACCTTCCGGATGAGGCGACCATGGGCGAGGAGGAGACATTGATGTGTGGCGCTCCGCTGGGTCTCGATGCAGGGATAAATGCCAGCGTTGTTCTCCAACTGGAGCATGGGTGTGGAAGTCCTGGTTTCTTTCAAGTAATAGTTGACATCACCAGACCAACGTCTGAGTTTGCGTTTTGTAATTCTTGGGTAACGTCTCGGCATTCGTGAAAGACGAGGAGTAGGGATCATCAGGTACCTGGCCGTACGAGATACCGGCACTCGAGCGGCAGGGAGCGGAAGCAAACGGAAGCCACTGATACGGCCAAAGAGGTGGCCTTTTTGCATGCCGATCAAGTTCACAGGTTCCTGATCGTCCCGGTTCCCGGCATTGATATAAGAGTCGGCGTAGACCGTTGGCCGATTGATGTTCGAGCCATCTCGCGACTTACACGCAGTCTTGGCAAGCAATCACCAATACCTACCCTGAGCTCAACACCACTGCCAAACCATCACCAGATACTACCCATCCCATCCATCACCACACCAGCACAATGGGCTCCTTCTCCCCCGAGCCGCCCAAGCCATGGGTCGAGACGCCCCTCATCTTCTCGCCGCCTGTCTCGCGAGCGGCAGGGTGCAATATCTTCCTCAAGCTCGAGAACACCCAACCATCCGGCTCCTTCAAGTCTCGGTAAGCACCTCAACGCACCACCACACACCATCTCACCACCCCCAACACGGCACTAACCCCAAACCCAGCGGAATCGGCAACATGATGCTCACGGCCTCCTCCACCACCCTCCCCGACGAACAACTGCACTTCTACTGCTCCTCCGGCGGCAACGCAGGGCTAGCCTGCGCCACAACCGCCATCACCCTCAACCGGCCCGCCACCATCGTGGTGCCGACCTCCACCTCGGAGTTCATGGTCACCAAGCTGCGCGAGCTGGGCGTCGAGGTCATCCAGACGGGCGCCAGCTGGGCCCGAGGCCGACGCCTTCCTGCGCGAGTCCCTCCTCACCCCCGCAGGACGGCATGCGCAAGGGTCTACGTGCCCCCCCTTCGACCACCCGGACATCTGGGCCGGCGCCGCCACCCTCGTCGACGAGATCGCCCTGGACTTTTGGCCCTGTCGGCGGCCGCTTCTTCCGGCCGCGGCGGACTGGATGCCGTGGTGTGCAATTGTGGGCGGGGGCGGGCTGTTGAATGGTGTCATGGAGGGGCTGGAGCGCAACGCGAAGCGGCTTGGCGGTGGTGGTGGTGGTCGCACCACCCGGGTGCTCGCGATGGAGACGGTTGGGGCCGAGAGCCTGTACGCCAGCGTGCAGGCCGGCGAGATGGTCACGCTGCCGGGGATCACGTCCATCGCGACGAGCCTGGGCGCCCGCCGCGTGTCGGAGAAGACGTGGGAGTGGTTCCAGAAGGTCGGCCCGGAGGGCATGGTCTGCTCGACCGTCACGGACAAGGAGGCTGCGCTGGCGTGCGTGCGTTTTCTGGACGACGCGCGCATCCTCATCGAGGTGGCCTGCGGCGCGACAATTGCGACGGCATATAATGGGGAGCTGAGGCGGCAGCTGGGTAAGGGGTTGACGGATGAGGAGTGGGCGAGCAGGAATGTGGTGCTGGTGGTCTGCGGGGGGTCCCACACCAGCGCGGAGATCCTCGCTAAGTATAAGGCGACGTATGGGATGGAGTAAAAGGATGTAATACGGGATGGGACGGGACGGGGTGGATCGGACGATATGGCGTTGCTCTTCACAAAAAAACCCGGGTTTATTATTGCTGTTAATGTTCTTAGGATGGCTGTCGTCGTTGTTCTGCTGATTTCCCCCCGTCTTCGCTTTGCTCCCCTCGAATAGACCAGCTCTGCGTACCCCTCCCGGAACCTGCGCCGCCAACGTGTCAAAATCCTGAAGCACGAGCTTCACCTCCCCAAAGTAGTTGACCTCCCCCTCCTGCGTGAACCCCAAACTCCTAAACAACGCCAAACTCTTCTCATTCCCCTGGTTAATCTTCGCCATCAGCAGCTTCAGCCCAGGCACCGCCGCCGCCATGTCCTTGTCCTCGGCATACTCCCGCGTGATATCCTCCAAGTGGCGCGCCACGTACTGCAAAAAACCCTGCACCACCGCCCGGCCCAGCCCCTTGCCGCGGTGCTGCAGGCCCGCAATCATGATGTCCACTCCCCCGACGCAGTACGCGGGCGTCGCGGAGGGGGAGTCCCCGTCTTCGTCTTCCCCGTCATCTTCGTCTTCGTAGGGGTACAGGAACAGGTTGACGTCACCCACCATCCGCGAGGGGCTGTCCGGCACTCCGGCGTGGATAGTGGGGGTATCGTTATTGGTGCTGGGGCTGGGACTGGGGCTGTCACAGCCGGGTGTTGTTGTGAGGGGCTCGCAGACGATAAAGGTCAGCTTGTCGTGCGAGACACGCCACGACGCCTGGTTCTCGTACTCATCTTCGAGGGTGAGAGGTTCGGAGGCGGTGGATACTTGGATGGCCTGGGTGGGGGTGGGGAGGGTGGGGTTAGTTTTGAGTGCGGTGGGATGAAGGTAGGTAGGTGGATGGTTGGGATAGGGGGGCTGCCATACGGGGTCTTCCATCCAGGCGTGGTAGGTTGGGACATGGCGGCTGTCATAGGGCACGAGCAACGCTCGGGTGGTCGAGATAGCTGCGGCATGAGGGGGTTGGATTTAGTTTTTTGAGTGAGTTTATTCCCGGTTATGGAGTAGTTGACATGCCGGTGGACTCGTTTAGTCTCATTTTTTCGGGGTCGATTTTGGGCTTTCTCGCCTTTCACATTGAGTTCTCGATGAGGGTTTCAAGTGAGCTGTTTTTGCTGTGCTTTTAGGATTGTTTTGTTATCGGGGTTATGCTGCAATTGAGGATTGGCCCACTCACGGAGGCCGTCACCGTTGTGTTTTCCCACTGTTGGTTGTTTTGAACCGTATATTCGTTTCTATTGTTGTACAAGATGGTGACAGTGTATCTCGAGTCTCGAGCCAGTATCAGGTACAGCACGCCGTTTAGTCGTACACACCTACAAATCCGCGTTCAGAAACGCGCTGCGTAACACCTTATTCTTCTGATTGCACCTCCGGGCGCTTGCTCTTCTTCGCTTTCTGCCTGCTCTTAGAAGACCCGGGAAATTCGACATCCATGTCCTCAACCACAGGAGGGAAGAGGCCATCAGCGCGGCCGCTTCCGGGGTCCACCATCGGGATTCCATAATCCATGTCACACCGCGGGACGGCATGGGCAAACGTCCGCTTATCCCGAGCGACACCTAGGGTGTCAAGCAACTGGGCAGCCTTATCGGGCAGAAATGGCTGTAAGAGGATTCCTGAGATTCGCAAGCCTTCGGCTACCAGGAACAAAGTCTTGTCTGCCACTGCGTGGTCTGCCGCGTCTTCTGATTTGACCAATGCCCACGGTTCTCTCCGTGACAGTAACTCGTTCAACTAAAAGGGTATTAGCGACGCCGCTTACCAGCTGAAAAACTGGACCAGGCCTGACTCACAGTGGTGCTAATCTTAAATATCTTGCGGATGGCCTCTTTAGGCTCGTGCTTCTCCATCCGGGAGGCAACGATAGGCGCAGCGCCCTTCAACATTTGCTCAGTTGCGTGTAGGTCCAGTCTTATTTCCTTGGGCATGAACGAGTGCATCATGACATCAAAGTCATGGTCAGGAGGCGAGCGCGTCACAATGTCTCGTACGTTCCACGCCTTGGGTCTCGTGAGGCGTCCGAGCAGGTTACCCAGGCCCCCTTGGAGATACTTCTTGTACTTAATCACAAGATGGTCATTGGCGTAGTTGGCATCGTCGGCGATTCCGCCTTGAGCTAGGAGATAGTAGCGTGTTGCGTCGACCCCCCATCGGTTCATAGCGTACAGAGGATTGACTACGTTACCAACCGACTTGGACATTTTCTTGTTGTTCAGTGTCCAGTGCGAATGGACCAGTACCTTCTTTGGCAGCGGGATATCTAGGGCCATGAGCAGCGCGGGCCAGTATACGCAATGGAAACGCAAAATATCCTTGCCGATAACGTGGACATCGGCAGGCCAGCCACCCTTGTGCGACTCCCCGGGGGTCCAGTCGGGGAAACCGGCTGCGGTGATGTAGTTGATCAAGGCGTCGACCCAGACGTAGATGGTCTGGGAAGGGTCTTCGGGGACCCGAATCCCCCAGCTTAACCGCTGGACCGGCCGGGAAATGGAAAGGTCTTCAAAGTGGTTCTTGACCCAGTCGACAACCTCGTTCATGCGGGATGCCGGCTCGATCCACCCGGGGTTCTTCTCGTAGAAGTCTAGGAGCCTGTCCTTGAGCTCCGTCATGCGGAAGCAATAGTTCTTCTCCTCGACCCACTCCACCTTGTTCTTGGTCTCGGCCGAGGCCATGTACACAGCGCCCGTGAAGGGTTTCCTGGTGCTTGACGACCTGCGACTCCGGGTAGAAGCACTCGTCGCCCACACTGTACCAGCCCTCGTGCTTGGTCTCGTAAATGAGCCCTTTTTCCCGTAGCAAAAACCAAAAGTGCTCGACGGCCTGGACATGGTCGCGGTCGGTGGTGCGCATGAAGCGGTCGTAGTCGATGCGGGCCATCCGCGCCAGCTCCTCGAATTTCTCGGCGTTCTCGTCGCAGAGCTGCTTGGGCTCCTTGTCGGCGAGGGCGGCGGCCTGCTGCACCTTCATGCCGTGCTCGTCAGTGCCGGTGACAAAGAAGGCCTTTTTGCCGATCAGGGTCTGCCATCTCTTGAACACGTCGGCCAGCACCATCGAATACATGTGCCCGATGTGCGGCTCTACCAACCGGACTGGTCAGCATTCACCACCATCGCAGCTGTGGATGGATCAGTGGCAAATCGGTAAGAACATACCGGCATTGACGTAGAAGATGGGCGTCGTGACATAGAAAGGCTTATCTTCTGGTGTAGGGGGTGCAAATGTCGTAGGTGTTGTAGGTGTTGTGGGTGTTACAGGTGGTGCTGGAGGTGCTGGAGGTGATGGTGCTTCCGACGAGAAACGCCGGGACATGATGGCGGCGACATGGCTCCGGTATGGGTGGCATACCCAACTTTTCGGTCGGGTCAATGGCGACTGCCATCTGAGCAACCCGCGAGCCGACGCTGCCCTTGCAAACTCCATTGCCAATTACTCCGGCAACAACCCGTTAGAGCTAAAGCTCTCTCAACAAGATGATTTTATCGCTTGGCTCGGGAAAGTTTTGGTGGGTCAATGTGACGGGGGTCGCTTCGAGCAATGTATAAACGGGGTCATGCATGTAATGAATCTTCTCGGGCGAGCTGATGCCGAGCAACAACACCAAGAAAAACATCACCACATTTGGGTTTTATTTTGGCTTATACTTATGAGCCTAAACGTACTTGCGATTGGGGACCGAGCTTCAACTAGTAATTCTCAATGCACACCTACTCGAGGTTGGCTCTTTCCCCCCTAACGAGAAAGAGTAAATACCTATCAAATAAAAATGAAGTAATGAATAAAACATCATCAAGGTAGAAGTAAAAAGAACAACGAACCAGGTAACTAGGATTTGACCATAGATATTTACCAAGTTAAAAATGAAGCATCAAATGAAGTACAAAAAGCTCGCCGTCAAGCCCCATTTGCCGGTCAAATGGAGGTTGACGGTTACGAAAACCCGAAGGTTTTGCGCTGCGAGGGGGAGCCGAATCGGTCCTCTTTCGATTGGTGTCCAACCGGTCCTCCCCCCAATGCCGCTGAGCTAAACGCGATGTTTTGCTTTCAATTAGGAGGAGGCGGTGACAGTGTGAGTGCGGGATCTAATACATATCCCCTGCTTGGCAGCCCCAGGCCACACACAGGGTAGAAGGGATCAGATAAAACAGCAGCCTGAACCTGACCTTCCACTCCCCTCGGGGGGTGTGCCTGTCTGCGTGCCTGTTGACCAGTAATAGCAGAGCAAACTATCCAAACCCAGAATTTTGACCAGCGTCCCGTCGTTGCCTTCTTCCCCTTGACATGAACTGAATACGGCTGGCTGGTAATCAATAAAGATTAAATGATACTGCCTTGCAAGATATAAAAGTGAGCTATCACTCTCGGTCTTGGAGTGACAGGTAGCCTTGTCTCCTGTGTCCCATGATCGCCGTCCCGTAGTAGTACCCACACAAAACGCACGTATGCCTTTCTGATGTTTCCAGTACCTATCCGGGAAGAGGCGACGACCTTCCTGGTTTCTTTTTGCCTCGCTATCTTGCATGTATACGGACTGAATAGCGGAATGCCCGGAACAGACCCCGCACTTGCACGGCTGGCATATGTATGCCTCGTCGTAAAGGAGGTCGGCCAGAAGAGGCCTCACATGGCTCATCTGGGAGACCGAGTCCAAATTATAGATGGAATCTTGTTGCGTGGTAACGTCAGTTGAGGAGCTCGAGAGAACACGGCACGTACTTTCGGACGCTTCACTTGCGGCAGGGGCAGCAGACGAGGGTACATATGCCTAAGTATGCGTGGCAGAGTGGGTAGCGGTAGGGTGAGGCAGCCTCATCAGCTTTGGCCCGCGGAGGAGGGCACCATATCAAGAGACCAGCGTTTTTGGGACTTGGGGGCTACGCAATCCACCGTGCCATGGAGGTTGGGTGACTTGGGTCGCCCGTTGCCTTCATCTGCGGTGTTCCCCCAGGCCACCTAATTGCCACGAATTAAATGGGTACCTCGAGACAGTGTTGCTAACAGAGAACTCTCTGGATCACGGTGGAACAGCCGACAACAGCACTCCAGGTCTCTGGCCACCAAAAAGCTGAACTCAAGAAGGAGCAAGAAATCAGGAAAAGGAAAAGGAGAAAAGGGAGAAGAAAAAAAGAAAAAATGAAACGAAAAAGAAGTAAATGAAACCAAACCAAAGAAATCAGATAAAAGACACCGAGTAAAATAAAAAGTCGACTTGGGCTTCCGAATGGGTTTCTTTTTCGTCCCTCTAAGCTAAGGTTTCGTCGGCACCTACACCTGACAGTTCGCCTTTTTTGCCCATGGGGTGAACAACAAGCCTACCCGGGGATCCAAGAGAAATGCGTCTGGAGCGGCCTCAAACAATGCAATGTGGTTTCCTGTTAATCCTTGTCTTGTCGTGCAGTGCATGGGACGAAGTTCGGGCGTTTAAAATATGTGGTCACGTAAAAAAAATGCATCAAAATTGCCCAGATCGGTTAGGCTCACAGGGCTGAGTTTCCCCACTGAGATGACGTCGATCTTGCCGGCCAAGCCTGTTCGGAATTTTGAGACAGGTCCTCATTCAAAAGTTTACACAGTATGTACTTCATCGCAAGCTCCACAGGAGGAAGGGTTGGAGAGAACGAGAGCACGATGGAGCAACAGAAACATGCAATTGGCACAAATGGCGGCTTCGTTTCAGTTCGTGAAACGGACCTCTGGCAGGTGAACCAACTGCAGGGGCCTGCAAACGCCATCCTCTATGAAACTTGATTGGCTGCGGGGCAGGCCGGCCGCGGTCAGCCACGGTGAAAGCCTGTCAGGGCCGAGAGGGTCTAGCCACAAGGCTCGGTCTCGGGGCCCGCCGCAAGTGCAGGGTGGGGGAGGGTGAACTGCAGGACAGCAACCCCTCTTGCAGACTTTCTGGCATTCGGATCGACTCATGGTTGGATATAATCCTTAGATTGCTTCTCAGAGAAAGCACCGCCCCAATTCCTTAGTTCTGGGCCCGACAGGAACGGACAACGCCATGAATTCCATGGATGCTCCGAACATTGGGGAAAAAGAATGTGGGATAACGAGTTCCTGGTACCTCCGGTCTGTGCGAGAGACAGAAGGGGCAGACGGGAAGTTGCCGGGGAGATGCCCGCCCAACCATGGATGTCATGCGAACACCCAACCGGGCAGCTGGAGGCAATCAAAGACCCGTCGTGCAACAACTCGCAATCCATATATTAATCATTAACCTTGTATCTTCCAAGCTTGCCATGCCGTCTTACAACATAGCTGAATCAAACAGTTGCAGAACGGGCTGCAACCAATTGGTCTCTTGGTCGGCCCATTTTAGCGACCGTTTCGTTTGCTGAACAAATCCAGCCCCACCCCACCTTCACTTCCACACTTGGTTGGGAGCCCTCGCAGCCCCAGTTCCTGGCCCAACACCGTCCTTCTTCCCACAGTCCAGCCTTTGCGCGCTAGCTCCAAGTTCTCAACCTCTTCGACTCTTAACACCCGTGGACGCACTCTGATTCGCAAGGCGCCAAGCCACAAACCACACACAGCTCTTGGGAGCAAGGGCTACCTTAACTAAAAACCACGATTAAGTTGAAAAGAATCGACCCCGATCAAGTTGATTACATTACCGGCCCTGGGTTCCACCCCGCCCGCGCAGCATCCGTATCTCCTCGACAGCAAAACAGAATAGTCCTACTCTAGAAATGACCAAATTTACCAACCAGGATGGTTGAATGGGACGCTATTGAGACGCTCCTGGAGACGGGGTCGTGGAGGACCGCGCGCTCGAGGAGCCCCCACCCGTAAGTCGCTGGTCGAGCTGTTGTGTAGAGCTTGGCTCGCTCGCCCGCCCGCCTTTTGCTGACAACAATATGGTCACAGTTACGATTCACAACGTCGGGCGTACGAACCGTCTAAACCCAATATCGGTATCCCCAGGGCAGCAGGAACGACAACACGCATAAAACGGCCACCGCCACCCTGCGTCGAGGATGAAGACGAATCGTTGGCAAAAGAACACCTTAGTTCGGTTGTGTCGGACTCATCCGACGAAGGGCCCAAGCACCGCGGTGAGATCGATCAGCAGCCAATTCTGCTCCCGGTACACGAGCACAACCCCGAGCGTCGATTCGTGATTGTTCCGGGCGCTGCTGGGGAAGATGCCCCGAAGACTACTCAGGCCCGATACGATGCAAACACCTGCCGTAAATACGTCATTGTACCTTCTGAAAAAGATGCGGAGAGTGGGGAGAGCGGGAATGAGGATAGGCGAAAACGGGATTCACCCAAGGAGAACCCCCCAGGATTCGAAGAACGCCCGGGCTCGCGTAAAGGAAGGCCCGAAATTGTGAAGCGGAAGAGCCACCAGGACTTACCGCGCCTCACAACCGACCTTCACCCGGAAGAACCATCTATTCGGCGTTCAAGCAGCCGCCGTGATCGGGAGAAACCCCTCGTGCACCAAGAGGCTCAAGGATACTCTTCATCTCGCGACAGGTCTAGCGCAAGACCATCCGACAACGACTTTTTATCACCCGCTGCGGTTAAAAGCAAGAGCTCTAGGAGACGTGATCGAGCGTACTCGGATGTCAGATCAGATGCGGGGCCGAGATCCGGCCGTAGCCCCCCAACCAGGAGGGATGCCGAGGTTGAAGTAGCGGATGGAAAGCGTTCGCATCACTCATCCAGATACTCTGTGAGCCCAGGGGCTCATCGACGGGCCTCGTCCACCACAAATGTGCCAACACAGGACGGTGGGTGGTCGAAACCACTCTCCCAACAACCATCCGGTTACTACAATGATGATGATATTCTTGCCTTCATGGCGCCAGGCGATGACTTCATGGCAGAAAAGCCGCGGAGGGACATGTCCCCGCCGAGAAGGATCCGGAATAGCAACTCCCCACCTCATCCCCGCGGCGCGAGGGTGATGCCCGGATCGCCGACTCGCAAACGCCAGCCTCGCTCGTCAAATCGTGACCGCGACGGGTATTCAAGCGACGACAGCTATAAGGAGCGGCGCCACAATCGTTCCGAACGCCTCTATTCAACCCGGCCCACATTGGAACCGGACGAAGGCCGACGGTCAGCCGCCAGGCTTGCAGCCGTTCCGTCACTAGCAGCTCCATTTTCGGATGAAGGACTTCAACCAAGCCCGCGGAGCGCAACTTTCCCAACTGATAAAAGTAGGAAGGTCGGCGAGCGCTCCATGTCGCCGTCTCCCGCTGCCAGCGCCTCTCCATCCCGACGCCCCGCCCAAGTCAAGGCAGCCCAACCAGGAGTGCACTCACGGGATGCCAGCGTCGGCTCAGCGAATGGTTCTACTACGCTGCCACCTCCAGTGTCGGGCACGTTACCTCGGGCTGCTACTCTGGACAGGCCTGTGCCAGCGGCAGTAGCTACCCTTGCTCGACAGGAATCTTCAGACGTGCAATCGCCAACGTTGTATTGGCAGCCCGGGCGCTCCGAACAAGGCGCTGCCGATGATGACGTGACGAGCCACGCTCTTGCCCAACTCCCTGACTGTCAATGGAAATATCCCACCTTGGCTCGCAACAAACCGGGCAGTGAACAGTTTCTTACCCTGAAGAGGGCCGAGAATTTCGAGATTTGCCCCGGCTGTTACCGGGTATTGTTTGCCAACACAGAATTCCAGCACATGTTTGTCCCGGCCCCCATCCGTACTGGAGAGCAGCTCATCTCTTGCGACTTTGGCGCCTCGCCGTGGTATCGCATCGCTTACCTATTGACGCTGAAACACGACTTCCCCGACCTTCGTCTGCTGCAGGGGATAGCATCCGTCGCAGCGCGGACACAAGCCTGTGCGGGGAGCAAGTCCGCATCGCGCGTCTGGTATAGCATGATGGCGCCGAACTCTAGGCGGCCTATTCCGAGATTCAACGTCTGTCTGAGCTGTACCAAGATGATTGAGGTGCTCCTACCAAACCTCGCAGGCATCTTTGTGCCCCTAAGCTCACATGAGGCCACGCACAACATCTGCGAGCTTCACTATGTACCGGAGCGGAAGCGCTTCTTCGACTACTTCGAAGAGATGAAGACGACGTCCGATAAAGCACTCACCCGTAGGACTGCCCCGGATCTTATGGAGCTTGTCGACCGTGTCCGGGAGATATCGATCCACGATGAGTGCCTGCGCAACACCCCGATTTCGAACTACAAGTGGCACATCATGGAGCGGGTACCCGAGTTCACCGTCTGCGAGGAGTGCTTCAATGCCGTGGTCTGGCCGATGATCGAAGACGAGGACAACGGCAGCGAGATGCCGCGGAATTTCTATAAGTACAGGCAGACGAAGCCACTCGCCGCGTGCCAGCTGTACAGCGACCGCATGCGCCGCGTCTTTCTCGAGGCCTGCAAGTACGATGATTTTGAGTTCCTCACCTCGTGCGTCCTCAATAGGCTGCAGACCCTGGCCGAGGTCAGGGCGAGATACAGTGAGCTGCAGAGGGAAAGCCAGGAGGACCCCGCGGTGCAGGATGAGCTTGCAGCTCTAGCGAGGCGGTTTAAGGATGTTGAATGACGTGGGTGAGGGGTTAGTAAAGTTCGATCGGTATGTGTACAGGAAGCGTGCTCGGGCGCCATAGGGGCAGCGGTTTAGTTATGTTTGTGATACCACGCATCGGAATAAAGAACTTGTATTTCAAGTCTCGCTATGAAGAAATACGATATCGAATGGGAAATATGAGATTCCCGTTCATCTGATTTGCTAAGCATGGGCACACGTGGCGGCATTTCTGTTCAAATTTCAGACACCCGCTACAACAAGCATCGAGTGCCAAATTAAAGCGTGAAATTCTCCGGCCGTCGTATCCTAGCTTCGTCCGGCTATGGTTAAAGGTCACCTCGGAGGGTGGTGTTGGAAATCAGCCGGAGGTCACTCCAACCCAGGGGACCAAACAGGATTCTCTAGAGGCTACCACAATCAATAAACCCCCCAAATCAATATCATCCCCCATTCCCCGGATACCGACCGTTGGGAGCCTCTGCAAAGGCAGGACGGGCAAAATATACCCACCTATCGGAAGCACATGGCGCGCTCGCTCGATAACCCGATGTGTAGGACGTCCCCCGTGCCTCTACCTCCGGGATGCTTTACTACAAGAGCCAAGATGAACTCGGCCGCCGTAAGGCTGTAGATCATCCTCTCCAAACAAGGAATTCAGTATGTGGTCCACCGCCCTGCTCGTGGTGCTAAGCACCATCATCCTCCCTGCCTTGACCGCCATGGTCAAGGAGGGCTCAACATGCATTGTGACTCCTATCTCCGAAACCCCGGCCGCCGTCGCCGTCCGCAGCCTCGGCACCGTATCCCCGGAGGAGCGTGATTGGGATAACGAAGTTCACTACCCGCGCGCTGAACCGGGCTCACACCGCCACCCTCAAGGCAGCAGCAGCAGCAGCGAGCTCCACGCCGCCGCGCCCATCACGCCACGGCAGAACAAGCCCGACGACACCCCCCAGATCATGTCGGCCTTCACGCAATGCGGCAAGGACGGCACGATCATCCTGCGCGAGGGCACGTACCACATCCGGCAGGTGATGGACACGTCGGACCTGCGCAACGTGTCGGTCGAGATCCACGGCACGCTGATCTGGAGCGACGACAATATCTCCTACTGGCGCCAGGCCAGTTTTGGTGTTACCTACGCCGGCCGCCAGACGGCGTGGCGTGTGGGGGGAAGGGATATCGCGATTAGGGGGTTTGGGAAGGCGTTGTTTGATGGGAATGGCCAGACGTGGATTGATCTGGCGAATGGGGCGAGTAATTATAATGGGAGGCCGATTTCGTTGACGGTGTGGTATGGGACGAATGTGTTGATTGATGGGATTACTTGGTGGGTTTCTTTTCTTGTTTTTCCCCTTTCCTTTTTTGTGTTGTTTTCCTGTTGTCTCATGGAGATGGGATCATGGTGAGAACAAGGGAGGGTGGCTACTGACCGTGTTGATAGGCGGATGTCGCAGTTCTGGCATACCTTTGTTGCGCATTCGCAGAACGTGACCATGACGAACCTCGACATGGAAACTTACTCGAAGAACGGCCGGAGTTCTCAAAATACCGACGGGACGAATACTTGGAACTCGAAAGATGTGTTCATCGAGAACTGGACGGTCAAGTGTGGCGATGTGAGTCAAGCCCCTGAGTTGCCCCTGGGTTCTGCATCTCGGACTGACACCCCCAGGACTGTATCGGCGTCAAGGGCAACAGCACCAACATCCATGTCCGTAATGTGACCTGCCACGAGTCCGGCGTCATGACCATCGGCAGCGTCGGCTCAAACGCCAACCAGCCCGACTATGTTGAGAACGTCCTCTTCGAGGACATCAAGGCTACCCACTCAAGCAACGTCGGCTGGATCAAGACGTATCCCGGCACTGGCTACGTCCGCAACATCACCTTCCGCAACATGCAATTCGAGGACGTCAACCAGCCCATCTACGTGACCTCGTGTATCTGTCCGTCATCCTCCTACCGCCCCCCCCCCGAGTTCGGTGACTAACCCGGCCCCCGTGACAGACTCATACCAGAACTGCGACTCCTCACGCCTCAAGATCAGCGACGTCCGCTGGCAGAACATCACAGGCACGAGCAGGTACAATGTCGCGGTGGGAATCCACTGCAGCGCGTCGACGCCGTGCGACGGGTTCCATTTTGAGAACATCAATATCAAGCCCAAGAATGGCGGCACCGCCAAGGTCCTATGCTCGAATATTAAGAACCAGGCGAGCATGGGGTTGCAATGCACCGGGTCGTGTCCGGGGTCGCATCCCCAGCAGCTGTCGGGGAATGTGTGATCTTGGGGGGCTGACAGGGCCGCTTGGCGGAGAGGTGATGGAGAAGGCGGATGGAAGTAGAATAAGAAAAGAGCGTTTCGATGCGTGACTGTTATAGGTATCTAAACAATCTTGAACTGGGGGACCTGCTCCTTTTAAAATCGCATATGATGGTGTATCTCAGTCTAAATAGCGGCTTGGGGGACAAAAACAAGAATCCTGGAATAGTATAAGCCCGTCTGATATTTTGAACATTCTTGCGATAAATTTGGTAGCCGTATGAATTGTCACGGACGACGCAATGAAGGCATCGCGATTGGGTGGTGGTTACCTTGGAGCTTGGAAGCTGAGTGGGCTGTAGCCAGCTGGCGGGAGCCCCACCATATACCGTTTCCGGCCTAGTGCATATTAGGGCCACTGGGAAACCCCACGGGCACACTTCGCCGAATATTGCAAAATTTCAATTGGAGCTCCCGCCGGCCTCGAATTTTCGCATCTTCAACAACCCGCCCAACGAACAGGTGAGTTACGCCCGCCCGACTCGATTTTCCGTTGTTATCGAAGCCTCGACAGCTACGAACTACGTCGACGAGAAAAACCACGAATTTCGATCGCTAACTTCCTCCTCTTTTGCAGCCGACGAACTTGTCCCGACACCCGGACAAGATGGCCTCCCGTCCCACAGTTACCGTCATCGGCGCCGATGGCAAGGCCACCGGCGCCACTGAGGTCCTCCCCAAGGTCTTCAGCGCCCCCATCCGCCCGGATATCGTCAAGCACGTCCACACCGGCATGGCCAAGAACAAGAGGCAGCCGTACTCCGTCAGCGAGAAGGCTGGTCACCAGACCTCGGCTGAGTCGTGGGGCACTGGTGAGTGGCTTTTCGAGTGGTTTTTGGGAAATGGAAAGAGGGAGGAGGACAGTATGGATTGACGCGGGCTCGAAAATACGGCGTATTGAGAAAGAAGCGCGATTTCGAAATTGGGCGATTGCTGACGATGGACGAAAATAGGTCGCGCTGTTGCCCGTATCCCCCGTGTCTCCGGCGGTGGTACTCACCGTGCCGGCCAGGCCGCTTTCGGTAACATGTGCCGTTCCGGCCGCATGTTCGCCCCCACCAAGATCTGGCGCAAGTGGCACGTCAAGATCAACCAGGGCCAGAAGTATGTGGAAGGAGACTTGGTTTTTGTCGGGGACTGGTTCTAACCTTGCATGATAGGCGTTTCGCTACTGCCTCGGCTCTTGCCGCCTCTGCCGTGGCTCCCCTCCTGATGGCTCGCGGCCACCAGGTCGCTACCGTCCCCGAGGTTCCCCTGGTCGTCGACTCCTCCGCCGTTGCCGGCGAGGCCGTCGCCAAGACCGCCGCTGCCCTCGCCCTCCTGAAGGCCGTTGGCGCTGGTGCCGATGTCGAGAAGGTTAAGGGGTCCAAGAAGGTCCGTGCCGGTAAGGGCAAGCTCAGGGGCCGCCGCCACCGCCAACGCCGTGGTCCTCTGGTCGTCTACAGCGCCGAGGCCGATGGCAAGGATCTCGTCAAGGGCTTCCGCAACATCACTGGTGTCGAGACCTGCCCGGTCGATGCCCTCAACCTCCTCCAGCTTGCTCCCGGTGGCCACCTCGGCCGCTTCATTGTTTGGACTTCGGCTGCCATCAAGGAGCTCGACGCCGTCTACGACAGCAAGAAGGGCTTCTTCCTCCCGTCCAGCGTTGTTGCTCAGGCCGACCTTACCCGTCTCATCAACAGCTCTGAAATCCAGAGCGTCCTCCGCGCTCCCAAGGGCGACGCCCGCAGCAAGCGTGGGGCCGTCCAGAAGAAGAACCCGCTCGTCAACAAGCAGGTTCAGCTCCGCCTCAACCCGTATGCCAAGGCGTTTGCTGCTGAGAAGCTTGGTGAGGTTAAGGCCGAGCAGGGCAAGCCCCAACCTCCCACTGCGGCTTTCAAGGAGCAGCTGCACGAGATGTAAGCGGGGGTTGTTAAAAGGACGGGACTGGTTGTGGGGACTTTATTCGGCGTAACGGATTAAGCATGTGTCAAACACACATCAATGAATTCTGATACCGACATGGCATTTGCTTTGTGACACGGACTATGCCTTTCCAAGAGCAGACCTCGAGATTGAATGAGATCCTCGAGTAGACAGGACAGGAAGCAATGGTGCAAACATATTAGTGCCCCTCTAGTGTGTATGAATGTGTCATGTTGGCTCCAGGCTAGTGCTTGTTTGAGACCTGTTGTCCAAACCAATGGTTGGTCGCCGAATGGGCGTCCGGGGCAGACGCTCCATCGGGCGATTGCTCTTGCTGAGCTTAGTCCGACGAGGACTGTCATGTGCAGCACATGGCTGCCCAGGCGGTCACAAGTCCCTGTTTCCGCACCGCAGATCCCTGCAGCAAGGGTCTACGCACTATCCGAAGTTTCGAAAAGGGTGTGGAGAGCCAGGAGAGCGAGCTGCTTGTGGGGGAGAAAGGATTTCGAATGGCTAGTTTGCTCTCGTATCGTCCTTTTTTGTTTCCTCACCCCATCCTAAGTTCTTCCACCCTCTATCCCAACATAGGTACGAAACAATCCCAGGGCCAGTTCCTCCAGGGATACGAATCTCATAGGTGCTGTCGGATCGCTGAAATGCCAAGCATTGTAAAGTGGCCTGTGCAATACCTGTCAGGGTGGAGAATGCGGGGCCATAGGGGCCCAGGCGGGGGCGATTTCAGCCACTCCTTCAGCTGCTTGCAGGTTGCACTGCAGGGCCCTTCCAACAGCCCGCCGAGCGAGCCAGGGTGTACAATTACGGTTGGTACCTCAGTACGGAGACAATGACGTCGGTCAGACTTCCGGCAGGTTGCTCGGTGCTCTGTCCACCTAGCAAGGACGCGTGAGCAGGAGCGTGGACTTATTCATTGTGAATGGGAATGGGTCTCGACTCGAAAATCCTTCTATATCGGTCTAGACCCGGGCCCCTTTCAGTTTGCTCCTCCAAATCCCGAGACCCGAAGCGTTGGCCCTTGGTGCGCGCATCAGACAGATCGTCGGATGTTTTCTTGGCTCCAGTTCTGGTTGTTCCTTGTTCCTCGTGTCTCAGTGTCTCACTTCTCAGTCCACACAGCATCAGCTCCATTCGCCCCGACGGCGTTATCCGTCGCCTCTTACTCAACTGCCTGACTCGCTTTCCTGGCATCTACAAACTCGGGGTTCATCTTGTCCTTCCGAGCGCGTCAAGAACCTGAATTGCGACTCGCTTTTTGCGCTTTGCGATTTGACGGCGCATTTTCGAATCCAAAGGTAGTTGTATATTGCTATAACATATAACATATCACTCTATTATCCGCTGGCCGGAATTTACAATAGCACGGGGCCGCGTCCGATACCCGATCGCCGATGGCGTCCGCAACAGTGACGTCTCCTGCTGGAGGCGCATCTCGTCCGATGGTGTTGCCCGGTAAGTCCAACAACCGTGCGCAGGCTGCATGCTTTGTGCCTTGCCTTGCCTTGCATTGCATAGCATAATCTCTGTGCTTCCCAACGCGCCCGGTACTCGGCTTACAACCTCAATCTTTAGGTCATTCTGGCCCTCTAAAATACGCAAATGCGCAAGATCTGCCGAGCTACCCGTCACCGGGTCTGAAGCCGGGCGATGCGGCGGCGAGTGCTGCGGCGACTCTGGGATGGGCTAATACCGTTTCCCCGCCAGCCTCCCCTCGGGGACACCAGTCCGAGACTCCTAGGTCGTCAGATGCCCTTCTTGCTGCTGGTTGGGCACAACGTCAGCAAAAGCCGCCTGCCTCTCCTCCTTCTTTGTGGGTATCCACGGCCGCGAACTTGGCTTTCAACGCAACCAAGACTCCGGCCCTGGCTGCTGAACGTCCTGAGTTATCACGCCAAAACTCGATGCGCGCTGCAAAAGGGGCAATGGCGGGCGTGCGACCCAGAGCAAGGTCATCGCCTCAGACGGCGAGTGAGAAGGCACCGAACCCGCCTAGCAGCGAGGGATATGCACTGAGCGCCGCGACCATCGCCCACCGACCATCGCCGCGCGCAAACGCCATGTCGATCAGCGAAACGGGCGCCGTGCCTTATACCAACATGGATAGGCAGATGTTCACCTCGAATCCGCCAGTCAAGCCCGAAACCGACGAGAAGAACCGCGCAGACGTCTTACACGCGTCTGCCCTCGCCATGGCGAAGCGGATGTACGGCCAGCAGCAAAAGATAATTGACAACTCGGCCCGGGCGCACGCCCGGTCGGCATCATTCCCCGGTGGCGACGCTTCCAGCCTCGCGAGCTCGCAGGATGAGGAACAACCGCCCCTGGTGTATCACAACCTCCAAGAGGCCGCGTACCGGCTCGCGCAGGAGCGCCTCGCCAAGCTGCAGGAAGAACACGACAAACAGCGGTCCTTCCAGGAGTATTACGGCTCAGGCACGCCGCAGCGGACCAAGTTTGGCACCATCAAGGGCAAGCTAACCAGGAGGCGCTCCTCCAGCGACGGGGATCTGCTGGAGGACAGACGGCGGTCGGAGCAGATCCGCAAACAAATGTCCCTGCTGAACAACAAGCTGTCCGTGGTAGACGAGGGCAAGAGGAAGCGGGATCAGGAGGCGCTGCTCGCGGCTGCGCAGCGGAACGTCAGAGCCCAGCTGCAGCAGATGGATAAGAAGGTGCAGTCTGACACAGGCCGGGTGCCTCAGGTCACGATGGATGACTGGGGGAGGAAGGCGCTGGTGGCCGCGCAATCTAGGTCCGCTTCTACGGCCCATGAGAACGCCGGAAAGGTTGATATTGGCGGTGGGAAGTTTGTTGACCGGGCCGAGGTCGAAAAGGTCGCCGCCAAGAACGTCCAGCCGCTCCTGGATGAGATCAACGAACTGGCCGAGGAGGAAAAAGCACGGCTGGAGGAGGAGAGGCTCGATGAGGAAAGGAGGAAAGAGAAGGCCGAGAGGGAAAGGATGAGGGAGAGGGAGATTCAGGATATCCATAAGAAGCTTAAAGGTAAGTCGTGGAAGCCGTGGGTCTTGAAGCCCTCCGCTGATCACAGTGCAGACCAGCAAAAGGATGTTGAGAGGGCAAGGAAAGCCGAGATCAAACAGGAGGAGAAAACCCGAAAGGATGAAGCAAATGCGGCAAAAGCTGGACAGAAGCACGCCGCAGAGGGGAAGAAGGGGGTTCTAACCAGCAAATTCAAAACAGACAGCCAGGGTCAAGCCCCAAACATCGAGAACAAACGAACCTCTGCCGTTAACCGAGTTCGCACTCTGTCAATAAACTTTGGCAAACGGCACCCAAGGCGCAAAGAATCCACCTCCGAACCCATCAGCCCGGATAGCCACTCAACCTCTCCAACACGAAAAGTCCGCGACTGGCTCTTCTCCCGCTTCCCCCGGCCGCGAGCCAAGACGGCCAGCACAACCGTGACCGACGATCAAGACGCCCCCGACGCGAAGAAGAAAGGCTTCATCGGCGGCGTCGCCCTAGCCCGGCTGCAGGGCAACAACACCAGCACGCCCTCCATCACGGATGACGTCAAGGGCAAGGGCAAGGAAACCGCAACCGAAGACCGCCCCGACACGAGCATGCGCGAGGTCGCCATGGCCGGCCGCGCCCCTACCACCGACGAGAACACCACCAGCACTACCACCACCACCGCCACTGCCGGCCCCTCCGCCATCCTCCCCTGCGCCACACCCCAAATCTAATCCCCTGCACACCCCCCCTCGGACGGGACACTCCCAACCCCAATCCTCCAACCGAACGCCCCACTCTCACAAGTCTCTCCAACCCAGCATCCCCACCTCGCATAACCAGTTTACAGGCCCATTCATGCCACACTTGCTTGCGTACGAGTCAGGAGCAGCCAGCGCGGGGAGGGTACTGGTCTTGGTACATCAGCTGTAATGGGTGGTGGGAGAGGGGAGTATTAGTGGGAGGAAGTATTCGTGGGGGGAGAGCCGGTTAGTGGACGCTTTCGGACTATCTTTGAAGACTAAAGGTACCTTCCCATCGGGGGAGGTGGTTGGGTCGCGATCTGTGGCCAATGGTCAGAGTGGGAGTGGGTCTGAGGGTGGGAGTGGGGGGGTGTCGGCAACGCTGACGCCGCCGAGGTTGAGGAGGCGGGTTGAGGGGGGGAGGGTTAGTCCATTTCGGGAGTCGAGGTTTTCGGAGATTTTGTGATGGCTTTGTGAAGGGTGGTGAGTGGGCGGGTGGTTTTTCTGACGAGCCGCTCGCGCGTTACACTGGCGAAGCCAGCGAGTATTTCCTTGGTTGGAAGGGCCGGGTAATCATTGTTAAAATGATGGTGACGATGTGATGATGGTGGGATATG